AAGAAAATCTACTTTATTTTTTTTTTTCACTTTTTGAATATTTCCTTTCCATATCTACTCTACTTAATTAACATCATCATCATAACGTCAACATGGGAAAAATTAACAGAAATTCTTTACAAAAAAGCAATATCTTTTGATAAGTCTTTCGAAAAAATGATTTCTTTTTTAATTTTTACAGCGGCGACCGCTGAGACCAGAATGACGCCAAGCTCTTGGTGGTATTTTAAATATTACCCTTTTATTATCTCTGTTTGTTTTACGATCATCATCATCATCATCATCTGGTTTGACGTGAATCTTCACTATTTCCTATCCTAGACTAATCCTCGTATTTTGCTTAACTATTTGTGAACAGTAGTCTAATCTCGTCCTACCTTCACTCCTTTAAACTCCTGTTTCTACTTCAGATGTGGCTCTATTTCTTCATGTATAATGAGAAGGCGTCTGCCAACCTATCTTCCCTATTTCTTATGGACTTCCATAGCGACTCTTTTTGGAGTTTCTAACTTAACCGGTCGCGAACAAAAAAGTGACTTTTTTTTGTTGACCACTCGATCCTTTGTTTTTTATTTCTATTACTCCTTCCATTCTTAATTATCTGACTTCCTAATAGATACCGAAAATCAAGGACGTCTTCTAATTTTTCGTTTCCTATCTTTCCCTACTTTTTCTTCCCTTGCATATTAATATTTTTGTTTAACATTCACTTCATTTTCAGGATTTCTTTTTTGTTATACTTCTTCGATAAATTCTTGTCAAGCGAAAAATGTTAATGTTTCTATTGACTTGAGGAGTGAGTAAGTGAAATTGTGAAAGCAATTCGGCCCCACATTTATCTAAATTTAGATCTCTGACAATTTTTCCGTCTCGAGGGCTTTAAAGCAAGGGGACATGGGACCGGCGAAAGGGAAGGATTAGACGTGTTCTTCGCTTAGAAGGCTCGAGCTTTGAATTAAATTAAAATGTAATGTTGCGAGTTATGCTACCGCTGTTTATTAAATTAAAACAATCGAGTTGCGTCATTTAGGGACCGTTCTGCTTCTAACATGAACAACATTAATTTTGTTTTCTCCGCTGCCGATATTTTAATGTATGTAGAAAACAATTTTATGGCATGAAAACAATGGAATCCTATTTGTACCATTCCAAAGACCGCACAGCTTTACTTTTGTTTCCGCATACCATATCAACGAATTTATTTTAACACAAAAAGACGTAATATTAATGTGGCAATAGAAACAGTAGTCAATAAAATATAGGCGAAATAGTTTGGTAGAACACCTTCTCACGCGTGAAGAGACATATTAGGAACAGAAACAGGAGTTAAGAGGAGTAGGGGTAGCCCTACATCAGATTACTGTTCACAAATAGTTAAGGGAAGTACGAAGATTAGCTCAGGATAGAAAGGAGTGGATATGTATGTAGGATTTTTATTGATGGTTGTTGAAATAAAAACTGCACCGGGTCTTTTCGAAGGAAAAGAATATATATATATTTTCCAATAGCAAATATTATTACGTTACGAAGATGATGACTTGAAATATTACAAAGATTTACAAGAAAAACCAATACCAAAAACACATCGACACCCCAACCAACATTGTGCAATCTTAACGTCTTTTGTAATTCGCGTCCCCGGCTTGTTTTTGATACGTCCAACAGATTTGATTATCGGCGCAGAATGCCGGCCGTCCTCACGTCCTCCCGCGTTTCCACTCAAGTATCGCTATTTAATTGATTAAATAATTATGTACAGTACCGGGCAAAAGAAAAAAAACAGATAAAATATATAAAAACAAATGGGTTCCCACATGTATCCAACCAACTTTAGGACTGATGATGAAGATGTACTATAGATATTATGTTCTGTAGACGTAACTATTTTTGATAAGCAGCACAACTTGGTTATAGCAGCATCGGTTATAATGATAATTCTTATGTAACGTCAGTTAATATAAATAATCTCCCTTATTTAAAACTCAAACCAAGTCCTATTATATATGTATTCTCTCTTTTGTGAGACGTTTCGTTAAAAATGGTACAGTGTTGATTAATGAAAAGATGGTATCGTTAAATGTAATTTTTAAAGACGTTCTCAAGAAAGTGAACGAACTTTAATAATTTACTCATTACTGAAAACTCTCAAGATTGTGGTCTGTGGTGCATGTACCTACTAGGATCGCTAATGGATTTCTTATTACCGGCAAGAAAATTGTTTTAAATGCCGACTTTCTGATCGCGGATCTAATTACTCTAATGCCTTGTAACGGCTCGACGTCGTTAAGTAAAATTTTGCAAAATATGGCCCATAACTTATTATTGATCAATTCGACCAGATGTTGCAGTTGCCGACGAAAATTACCAAGTAATTCGTGACACCAATAATCCAAAAATTTCATCTTAATTGCCACTGATGGTAAAGTCTAAATATTTTTGATGAAGAATCAATGACAACTAGCAACATTTTTGAGGCTTTTACCAAAAATAAACAACGGAACATAACGAAATGTATCAACAAAAGTTTTAGTGCTGGGATGGTCTAAATCTTCCTGAGGAAGACTCAAGTCAGTCAATGAAATTTTTAAAGCTTTCACCAGAAATGGACTATGGAACTTAATAAAATGGAATGAAATACGTATACCTATGTTCTACGGTCTGGATTACTGCCTTGGTCTATATTCAACCAATATTCCAGACATTTAGTGGTAAAGTCTAAATCTTCTTGACGAAACAAAACTTTTGATTAGAGTTTAATTTTAATGTGGGGTTCTTTCAAAATTGAGTTGGGACCAGTAAGTGATAGCTAAACATTTCAAAAACTTGTAACTGCGGCAAACACAAATAGGATTAAATGATTCGGGAGATTATAAAATGAAATTTGCTTGAATAAATGTTGAAACAATGAGTGCGGTTAATAAGATAAAACGTGCGGTCTAATTTGCGGCGAATACGACGAGTGGTTAGTCGTATCACGACGACAAATATTTAACGGGGAAGTACAGGAACAGGAGAAAGTCTGTTAGCGTGTAATGGCTCCGGAATGAGTTGAAAACGGACCCACTGGAGCGTCTTAATTACGCTAATCCTGAATGCAAACACCAGATCATTAAATACTAAAAGTACTTATTTGTAGACGGCTTAAAACCAAATCAAAAGTATCTTTTTTAGCTAAAAAAAGACCCTTATGTACTATTATTCTTGAATATTTGAACGTTTCTTTTGTATTTAAAATATGAGTAGTAGAACATAAGTTTAAGGGTAAATTAGATCGTTTTTTATTGAGGCTTTTAATTTTGCTGTAACAATGACCGAAGGGAAGAAGTAGGTATCAACCCCTTCGTCACCTTTACTTTAAAATAAATCATGGTTCCAGAAGCAATTTAATTTCTATAGGTTTCTTATAAATTGATGAATAATTTTATTTCATTAGTGATTTTGTCTACTAATTTCCATTTGTCTCTATTTTAGATCATTTCTGGTAGGTCTCAGATATAGGTAGGTAATTTATTAGAATGCCGTAGTGAAGGCGAGAGGTGTAGTAAAAACTGCAGGACGATCGTCTACACGGCTCACGCGTACGTGTTTTTCCTGATTTTTTTACATATTCATAATCGATTTGTAAGACAAAATTCGTTAAAAATCAGGCGCTATAAGGTCGAAATAGGATAAAGGACAGCTAGTCTCCGTCATATGCGAACATTTAAGTTGTAAAGGACTAGAAAATTCAGCTGTTGTTTTAATTAACTTATTTCATCTCGTAAGCCAGACGTGTCCTGAAAGGCTGCGTGTTCTAGGAACAGGGGTAAATTGCAGTGGATATAAAAAAATGTCATCATAAAATAAATTCGGCGACAGATGATTATAGTGGTGGCCCTCAGCGAAATATGCAAAGGGGTGACATGATTTAGAGTAGAAGCGCCCGCGGCTAGTCATTCTTTTGTGGTACAGGATAGCCATTCCACAACTGCGCCGGCTTCACGAAAAAATTATTTTTTTGCTATACTTTCAGCGAACTCAAATTAATTACGGAAAATATTTTCTTTAATTAAAATAGAAACAATATTAAAACAACTATTTTTGCTAATAATATGTCATCGCTATACTTTGTATTTCATAGTTTAACAGGGGTTTTGTACTTGATGATAAGAACTTCATAATTATACAGAAATGATCATCTACCATATATGGATTAATAATAGAAGCTCAATTAATTTTCCTTTTTCAATCTGTACTACTTTGTTTTATGATACTTTGAATAACAAAAATTAAAAACAAAAATTCTTACATGTCGGTATTTTTTGTGTATAGTAAAAAGATACGCAGTATTAATATTTTTATAGGTGTTGGCGCAGTTGATACTACCCCAAAATGCACGAGTCCGCTGTAGGAGGATCAGCCTCCTCCAGACTTGACACCGTCGTTATTTAGCCGGTGTTGTGGCAACAAAGGTCAATTATAGATTGAATGCCATTAAAACCGGGCCTCTTACATAAATGCTGTGACACAGTAATTTTAGAATAAAGTAGGTACCACAAATCAGCTGTACCCTTGGAACCCAAAATTTGCATCACTAAATAGTAGTTATTTTCACTTCAAGTCTCTTACTTTATCGCCAGAATTGTCCACCATCATCAATCATACTATAAAAATCGCGCAACTTTGGTAATACAGATACTGTAAAGCATTTTAGGCTCTGAGATCGGACGAAACCTCAACAGCGAATTGATCTTAAATACGTACGTATTTTGATTGGGTTCTACATTAGAAATAAAGAATTTTGTGACGCAAAACTACATAGTGTTTATGCAAAGTTGATAGACGTTCTTTTCGGATATAAACAAAGAATCTATTCTGAAGCCAGTCCGACCATATAAATGTCTGAAATGCTTGCTCGTATTTGTTCTAGAAAAACTCGTTAATTTGATGTTTGAAATAAAAATGTTTCGTTACTGGGTATTAAACGGGCGTTAATTTTAAGGCTTTTTTAAAACACTCACCGTGAGGAACCCAGCCGTGCTTACAGGACTCGCAGTACCGCAGGTGCTTTTTTCCTGGAACGAAGCCATCACAATTACAACTAGGAACAGTACAACGTATTGCCTGAAACAAAAGAAACACTAATAACAAGGTATACTTCGGTTGTAACGCACCGTTTACTTTCAGGCCATTAAGTATTTCAATCAACAATTTACCGAAAGTACATTATAACCGAAAATAAAGATAGGAGACGAAAAGTTTGAGGAAGTGGCCGATTTTAGGTATCTAGGAAGTCATATAAGTCAGGACGGAAGGAGTAGTAGGAATATAAAGCAGAGGATAGCGCAGGGTCGAGTCGCCTTCAATAAAAAGTCACTTATATGCTCGCGAACGCTTAATTTAAAAATTCGAAAAAGATTGTTAAAGGAGTATGTTTAGAGCACGGCATTGAACGGGTGCGAAACATGTACAGTGGACACGGCGAGAAAGAAAAGGTTAGAAGCGTTCGAAATGTGGTGTTACAGGCGAATGATGATGATACCGTGGATAGAGAAGGTTAGTAATGGAGAGGTATTAGAAAGAGTAAGAGAACAGAGGACTCTATGGAAGTCAATAAAAAATAGGCGAGATAGGTTGGTAGGACACCTTCTCAGGCATGAAGGTCTAGTCAGAGATACATTAGAGGCAGAAACGGAAGCTAAGAGAGGCAAAATTACTGTTCGCAAATAGTTAAGGATACAGGTTGTTCTAGTTTTAGGGAAACGCGAAGATTAGCTCAGGATAGGAAAGAGTGGAGGTACGTGTGCAACCAGTCTTAGGACTGACGACCTTATGATAATGATGATTATGACATATCGTATTAAAGGTAATTTTGTTACGATTTCGTTTACTAACGCATGGCGCGTAAAGTTTTAGAATAGTCTTGTGGGAGTATTCATCTTGACAGGACTATTATTAGTCTCGAGCAGGAATATCAATGACGATTTCGAAAACAGATTAAAAAAAGAGTAAAATATAGGAAAAAATATGTATAATATGAATGGTAGCTTGTGATGCATGTAAAAAATTCGTTCATTTAATTTAAACCTCCAGCGGAGCGTTCAAGAAATAAGAAAGTCTCTGGAGGACGGCTTAGATCCTCTTGGTCCCAGTCTCATTGTTTCATGTCAGGAAAATTGGCGTCAACCTCAATGGCTCCCCTGGGAACTCTAAAAACGGCCAATTTGAATATTTTCAACGTGGATTTTAAGAAGCGTGAACTTTTATCGCCTAGAAAATATTGAACCCTCGGCGAAGGGGCAGTGTCACCCCGGCGTCAACGGAACGTTTTCCTGCATCTTCTAATGATATTGTCTTTACACGTATCTAAAGGCCAATAAAAAATTGCACATATTTAATCCGTAGCTTACGCCTAATAAAGATGCAAATATATTCAGTTACAAGCAATCATTAAAGGGTGGCATTATCTCTTGGAAAAGGCGAAGTGATACAGGAAAATTCGTACAAATACCTTCAGCTACCTTTCCATATTTATAAATCATTAAGTAATACAAATCCAATAGATACAATTTAAAGCTTTTGTTATGATTAATTCAAAAGATTTTGGGAGTTTTGGGACATATTTCACAGGTATGGGTAACTAGCCGAAAATATCACCTAGAGGACGATATAGGTTTTATTATCAACACATAAAGTCTCTTAATTTACAAGAATGACTTGAATGGTGTAGTCGTAGTTTTTCTTTGACGTAACTGTAGACACAGGTGTGTGTGTGTATGTTTAGTAGAAGGAAAGCGAATTTCCTATAGCATACGCGTGGGTAATTTTGAAGTTTGTTGGAAAATGGCGTGCAATCGATATGCCATCGCGATTGGATGACGTTGAGTGAGGCGAGGTGAGTGTTGACAGTTCAATACTGCATTAATCCATTAATACACATCAGACTAACGATCTCGGAATCCGCGTATAAACCGTAAGCTTCAATGCGATTCACTGTCGTATGCCCTCTAATGGTGTTATGGTGGAGGTGTACATGATATACCGCAAAACACACAAATACCTAATGTATCTTTATTTGTACCCCAACGCGTCCAAAACACTCGCAATTCGAAGTTTGTCAAATTCATTTCGATCAAATGCCATTCTTGAACTGAAACGGCGATAGGAAGCAAATTCGGAGAAGTGAAACACTAAGTCGATATGTAGGGGACAGGGAGGCGAGTGACACGTACGTATGAAGCCTTTTTGGCCGTTCATGGTTCACAGTTTCTAGTACAGAGGTTCATTTTTGTTCTAGACACAAGAAGATCCTTCAAAGCTAACAGCTTTCGAAGAAAATATGATCAGGATTTATGGAATTACATCGAGTAATTTTGATTGGGTGGAATTTTTAACGTAATTTGTTGTACGGAGGGCGATTTTAAACCCCGTTTGTTCAGTTTTATTTCTGCAATAAGATTTGTGGCTAATAACATTATAAAAGAAGACTTACAGACGTGATATTAATTTTGAGTGAAATACGAATAGAGGAAATAGTACGGTCATTACGTGGAAGGTAGTTACAAGGAGCACTAATGATGGCGATAATAAGGAGACCGACAATTTCAAGTTTGTATTACGTACGAAGAGGGTGAACGCGCCAAAAGGGGGGGGGACACCGTTAAAAAAGTTCAAAAAGATACCGGCCGGTATCGTAAGATGTCGATTGTAAGTATATGAGGCGATTAAACAAATATATGAGTAGTATAATGTCTCTATCGAACATGGAGGCATAAAGCAGGATGGGTACCCTGCGGCGTAGCTATTTATGGGATGCCGAAGAACTTGATGGACGGTGTGCGGTTATAACCTGTGCATCGGCGCACGTTGATGAACTGCCCTGGTTGACGCTCTCCATAACGACATCATAAAGATGTTTGGACGTCGAACACTTTACTTTATGGTGTCGCGGTTCACCACATCTCCTCAGTCCTCACCCACCGTGTACCTACAATTCCTTTTGACTAACTGCAATATAATTAAGCGACCAATCTGTCCGCTTCGCATACCAGCCACGACTCATTTACTTTTCTCCATTACCTTTATTGCTAATTCCTTTCAAGCAATCTTGTAAATTTTCATTTTTAAACACCTTTTACACTGACTGATCACAAAAGTCCAAATCTCTACACAATATTGAGAAAGTTTGGTTGTATTCTGGTGTTTAACTACTAAGAAAATTCAACAACTGTGCTCAACTGAAATTAAGTCAGCCCTGATGGATGCAGAGAAGGAGTCTACACTTTCGCCACGTTCCTTGAGGATATCAACCAAAGAAGCCAGAAGAACGTTGGCTGAAAGATTCCTTCCTCAAACTTACTAAAATCCTATCAAACAAACCCTTAAGAGTCTTAGCCTTTTCACGAATTTCTCTACAACATCAAACATCTCAAGCTTTTATGGCAATTTTTCCTTAAAATCTACGATAAAATATAATAATCTTAGCTTCTTATTAATTTTTATCTTTTGTGATTTCTATATTGATTTCGCAGAAATATGAAGACTTAAATATATAAAGAAATACGTACTTGATTTCCAGACCTGTACAAAGTCATTGTTACGTAGAATATCAAAATTTTGTGATTTATCTTCAGACTTTTCTAAAAGAGAAACATTTCCAGTAGAGAAAAGACTTAAATCGAAAAGAACGACTTCTAAATTCCATCAACGAATTATTTTTGACCGTTGTGGAGAAGTGATCAATATCGGAGTGCCGCTGATGGTATTGATTGTTAGGTACGTATGAGAACGTGTTACAGTGGCATATGGTTGGTGATTTGAAGAGGTAGATAAAGCGCAAAGTGCAAGTGTACACGACGATGTTGTTGATGATGCATTGGCGAAATGCACGTTGTCTATTAGCCACCATTTTCGAAGTGGCTAGACGCGCCTAATAATGAATCACGTCCACGTTGCAATTCCCATAAAAGCACGAACATTAAGAGCCATGTAATACGGTGTGACATGAAACAAGGCGGAAATGACAGCCGTGTACCGGAACCAAAACCGGTAAAGCATTTTTTCTTAGATGGCAATTCGTTAATCAGAAAGAATGGGGCGCGCCTATGCAGAATCAACACTAAATGGTGATTGTCACGATATCAAATAATGTAATTCACGATAAACTTAACAGCTGCCGTCGAACCGAATAATAGAGACCGTGACAGCTTTGACAACACATCGAAAAGTCCATCCGTCTTACAGATATAAACTCTTCATTATATTCATTTTTATTGTATAGGTACTGTCGTCAATTTCATATACGAAAAGAGGGTGCTAAAAACAAATCAAATAAATATACATCCAATCGTACGTGGCGCATTTCTAAACTAACGGTCGTTTCCAAAGTTTTTTGTGTGCAGAACGACCATCACCAGTTGAAACTCCCATGGAATTGTGCCTCGTTTATGGATCAACTGTAATGAATGAAGAAAAGGCTAGACAATGTTGTCACAAATTAACCAATAACTCCACTAATGTCTATGACAAAAAGCTGACTGATAGGCTCCGATGAACTCGTTCAGAAGGTGGACCAAAACCACCTATCTGCTCGGCGATTGACAATTAGTGCCTTTGACAATGATTTTCCTCATGTTGGACGCACCAACATTTTCGAGATCGTTACAGAAAAGCTTGGAATCATGAGTTTTCTGCAAAGTGAGTACCGAAAAAGCTCACTGACCAAAGTAGAGACCAATGAATGATAAACGGATGGATGTTTTTAGATCGCTATTGAGAAGACGGGGATAACTTGGTCTTCCCAGATCATACGACAACAACCCCATCAGAAACCAAACAAGAGTCAAAGTAGTAATGTCGTTCAACTTCAGCAAAACCGAAAATATTCAGACAATGTCTGTACTAGACTCTGAAAAAGATGACTATATACTAAAACTGAGCTGATAGGAGAAGATCCAAGATTTTCGTTGGAAATCTTTGAACCACCCACTTTAAAGTCCCGACCATCGAACTACTATTTCCTCTTGCACTTCAAGCAGTAATTTACCGAATGACGTTTTGAGAACGATGAGGACCTCAAAACCGCCAGTCTGAACTGGTTCAATTTCCAGACTACGAACTTCTAC